TCTGCTGTCGGGTCCCAGCACTGCAGAGTTAACTCACACGGCACAAAGATCAGCACAGGCCCCCTGAAAAACACCTCATTTCCAGGGATTTTGATGACATCGCTGTAAAAATGACCCCGGAAATTCAGTCTCCCACTCACAGAGCAGAGAAGCCCCGAGGAAACCCTGCAAGGGGCTGTCCCCGATCCACCAGTAACTCACTGCTGGGAAGAACCCATTTCCCACCTCTAATTCCCACGTAGAGACCTCTGAGTTACAGTAACCAGCCACGACTGTGGTATCTTAACAAAAAAATATTAAAAAGTATCTTAAAAGGGCTTCATTTTCTCTATTGCTACAGAATAATTTGTTCTGTAACCAAGTAACCCCGCCGAAGGGCCTCTGTGTTATTTAATATCCACCAGGCTGCACAGGACCCTGCTTTGGGAACCATTCCTGACCACTTCCAAAGCACAGCACTTCTGGAAGCCCTCCCCAGAGGAAACAGCCAATACCGAGGCAGAGTGTGTAATATTTTATTGAACAAACGTGACCTTTATGCCAAGGGCTCCAGGTGACACGAGCACACTCCAGTGGAGCAGGACGCCGTGCGTGGTGGCTCTGGGGGCCCCAGGGTGCCGTGAAGCTCAGATGGCTGCCATCCTTCAGTTATCACAGTACTGTACCTTTACAAGAGACAGCATCAGCACTGTGATAACTGAGCCAGGGCAGCCTGGCAGTCATTGGCCCCTCCGTGGCACTGCCGAGTCCTCGGTGTCCTCCTCCCTCAGTGTCCCAAAAACCCCACGTCACCCCTCAGGTGAAAGCCTCGGGAGCCCTAACACAAGTGGCTTTGCAGCTGAGGTTCACTCCAGGAAATCATCCACATAATTAGTGTTAAATCTTAATGACCACAGCGGCTTCCGAGTGGTTTTAAGCGGCAGCTCCTTGTGGGCAAATCCACCCACGCTGGCTTTAACGGAGAGAGAGCACCCACCCCTGCTCCAGGGGACAGCCCTTCCTCCCCCTCAAATCCAGGCAGGCAGCAGCTCTTGGCTCGTGCTGCCAGTGCTGGGTGTCAGGAGCAGTGGGGACAGTGGCAGGCAGCCAGGAGAGCGGCTGGAGCCGCTCTGGGACGGCGGCATCGCGGCGGGCACGGCCCCGACGGCGGCACCGGCACCGTGCCCTGAGCCCGCCACGCTGCTGCTGCCTGCTCCTCCAGGAGCTGGGACTGCCCGGCCCAGCCCTCACCCTCCTTGGAGCCTGGCACGTGTGTGTGCACAGGCAGCACGGCCGATCCTGCCGTGCCCTCCCAGGGCCAGCCGTGCCCACCGCGACCGCAGGCAGCAGCCTCCAGGTGCCCCAGTGGCATTTTTAGCTCATCAAATCCACATAAAAACATTTGAAATGCACAATCCCACTAATTTGTTAAATTACAAGCTTCCATCAACCTATATTTACTCCCTCCCCATTGTTTTTTTTCCCTTCCTTAAAAACAGGCACTGCTGAAAAGATCATGGAACTATTTCTCCACCCACCACTTTGTTGTGCATGTCTGCAACTTTACCCCCTCTTGGCTTTTTTTTTCTTTCCTAAAACCAGGCATTCCTGAAAACATCACAAAATTATTTCTACCACCCCCACGTTGCCTGAGGGAATTGGATACATCAAGTTCTGAAATGACTTTAAGAAAACACAAGGGTTTCATGCTGCCAAAGTTAATGTGTTACTAAGTTTCCAATAAAAGTCCATTTATGATGTTGATGGAGCAGCACAAGGAGCTTCCACATTTCCAGCAGCAGGAAGCAGAAACTCCAAAAATTGTTTGGGGTTTTTTTGGTTTTTTTTTTTTTTTTTAACACTCTAAATAACTCACCTGGCAAAGAGAAGGTGCTGAGATGTCCCCGAGGCTGTTTTTAGGAGACAAACACAAAACGCTGGGCTGGATCCAGCCGTGAAAACGCTGCCTTACAAGTTTGCAACTCCAGAGGGCAACGGAGAGGCAAACGAGGAATATGGGAGCAGCAGCACGCAGGGGAAAAAAAAACATTTGCACATTTTAAAACAAACTCCAAACATACATTACATAAAAGGGGGACAGTCAACAGATTATGCAATGCTGACGTCAGGCAGCACAGATGACTTCAGCATGCATCCCCAAATTTGCAGATTTGCCACAGTTTGGGGATTAATCATTAAGGAATTGGCTGTTGCTAGGAAAGCACAACAAAAACTTGCTAAAAATATTAATGGATTCTGTCTGTGCAAGGGTGGGTTTTGAAAAGGAAAGGAGCTGCATGAGCAACGAGCCCTTGGCTCTCACTCCCAGGTGCTCTCACACCACCATTGGTATTCCAGGTGAGGAATCCTACTGATCTCAGCATGGCTTAAGTGTGGGGTTGGGAATTCTACATCTCACAGGCCGAGGTGATGAGAGAAGAATCACTGCTTTGCAATTCAAGCATGCTTTGATCACTCTATCAGGATTTTACTGCTCCAGCAGTTCCTTATCAGGGTTTTAAAGGGAGAGGGGGAACAATTCCTCCCCAGCACCCTCTGCAACAGCAACTGCTGAAGTCACACCTGTATTCCAAGGGCTGATGCCATTTTATCTGGAGGAGCCAGCTCTTCCCCCAGTTCAAATACAGTTTGTTGTCTTGCATCACTCTCTCTCTCACACACACACAATGATTTTTGCTTTGCTTCAGCCAGACTAAAGCTACACAGACCTGATGCAGAAAGCTCAAGCAGGTTCTCCATATATCTGGAAAAAATCACCTTTTTATAGCAAATCCCACATTAGTTTTGGAGTCCAGCACACATTTTTGCTCTTGTTATTGCTAAGGCCCTGCAAATTTCTGTACACTTTTTTAAAAAACCCTCCAGTTTCCAGTGTTTGCTGCCATTTCTCACCTTTGAAACCCGTTTAAGCTGGCCTGGTTGGTGTTTAAACTCCAGTTCCACCTCCTGCCCCTTTGGGGCTGGTGATATTTTTGCAGTTGTTTCATAGGAACCAAAATTCCTTCGGCATCGCAGCGATGGGGCTGGGGACATTCCCTGCCCACAGCCCCGGGGCCGGTCCCTCCCCACCCCTACGCACGGGCCGAGGATCTCGGGGCGCTGCGAGCCGCTCTCACCCCGCGCGGGCTCCTGAGGGGAACAAACCTCATCTCCATCTTCCCCGGCGCAGTTTGAACGCGAATCCCGGCCAGCCTGAGGAGGGAAGAAAACAAACAGCTGGTTACGGGGACGCAGCGGCGTGGGGCGGTGACACGGCCGGCGGCGGGCACGGCGGCGCTGAGGGGCGGCGGAGCCTGGCGGGGCCCGGGCCGCCACCGCCGCTCCTCCCAACTTCGCTGCCGGGGCGCTGCCCGAGCTTACCTGGAGCGGGGAGGGGGAAAGCCGGGCGGCAGCCGCGGGACGGGACGGGATGGGGCAGGACGGGGAGCCCCGATCCCGCGGAGCGCCCCCCGCCCCGCTCGCCCCTCAGCAGCGCCGGGACCCGCCCGGGGCAGGGGGGGGCGGCGGCCCCGCCCGCGCAGCCCCCGAAAATGCGAGTGCGCCACGGGGCAGCGCCGCGCCCGGCGCCGCCGGCCCCGCGCCCCCCGCCGCCGGCCGCCCACCCCGCGGTGCCCGGGGCCGCGCCGGGCCGGACCCACCTGCGGGCGCGGCGGGGCCGGGGCGCGACATGACGCAGCACGGGCGGGCGGGCGGCGTGAGCGCCGCCATCTTGCCGTGTTTATGGCAGCGCCGCGCGCCCACGTGACCCGCGCCCGCTTCCGGGGGCGGCGCGGGGGCGCGCGGGGGCGCGCGCGGGGGCGCGCGCGGGCGGGCGGGGCGGGGGGGAGAGCCGGGAGCGGCGCGCGCCCCCGAGCGCGGGCACGGCGGCTGCCACGGGGGCACGCACCAGGAACGGCACGGCACGGACACGGTGTGGGCACGGTGTGGGCACGGTGTGGGCACGGGGCTGCACCCGCCGGGACAGCGCGGGCCGTGCCACACACGCACAGTGACACACGCGGAGTGACACACACACAGTGACAGACACACACAGTGACACAGACAGCGAGACACTCACACAGAGACACAGCGACACATGCACACAAAGTGACACAGACAGTGACACACGCACACACAGTGACACAGACCGTGACACACGCACAGACACAGAGGGAGTGACATTCTGTACCGAGGAAGGGACACACACACACACACACACACAGGGACACACACAAGGAACGGCACCCGCGGAGCCACACACGCAGAGGGAGTCACCCACAGACACACAGCGAGTGACACGAACGTCCACAGTGACACAGACACTCCCCGCAGTGTCACCAGCGCTGAGCAGCGCCTGGGCACGGCGGGCTGTGCACCACCTCCAGGCTCTGTGTGTGTGTGTGTCTGTGTCTGTGTTCCTGTGTGTGTGTGGATGTGTGTGTGTGCCATCCACAGGTTGTACCTCCTCCCCTGGCTGTGCTTTCCAGCTGTCCATCCACAGGTTGTACCTCCTCCCCTGGCTGTGCTTTCCAGCTGTCCATCCACAGGTTGTACCCGCTTCCCAGCCCATGGTTTCCAGCCGTTCATGCCCATCCCGCCCGCCCTCGGCCCGTGTTCCGCCCGTCCGCAGCGGGGCACCCTCCGCCCGCCGCCGCCGTGCCCGCCCCGGTGGTCGCGGTCCCCCGCGGGTCCCCCCCGGCTCCCCGCGGGCTCGGCCGTGCCGGGCGTGCGGGACGTGCCCCGGGAGCCGCGTCCATGGGCGGCGCGGCTCGGGCGAGCCGGGCGCGGCGAGCCGGGATGTGCCGGGGCGGGGCGAGCCGGGCCGGGCCGCGCCGAACCGGGACCCGCCGGGCCGGGCCGTGCGGGACCGCGGGGGCCCCGTCGGGCCGGGGGATGCGCGGGCGGCTCCGGGACTACAAATCCCAGGGTGCCGCGGCCCGAGGGGGCGGGCGGGGGGAGCGGCCGCGGGGTCCCCCCGCCCTGCTGATGTGTCCGGGCGGCGCGGGGGGAGCGCGGCCGGGGCGGCTGACGCGTGTCCTGCCCCGCAGCGCTCCGGCGCCCGCAGCCGGCCATGGCCTCCAAGCTGCTGCGGGCCGTGGTGCTCGGCCCGCCCGGCTCGGGCAAGGGCACGGTGTGCGAGAGGATCGCCCGCAGCTTCGGGCTCCAGCACCTCTCCAGCGGGCAGTTCCTGCGGGAGAGCCTCGGCGGCGGCGGCGGTGAGTGCCCGCGGGGCCGCCCCGTCGGCACCGGCACCGGGAGCGGCACCGGGGGGTCCCTGCCCTCGCATCCCCGGCGGGGCAGCGCTGGGACGCGGTGGGGACGCGGATGGAGGTGGGGTGGGATGGAGACGGGGATGGATGGGATCCGTGTCCGCGGCGGGTGCACCACAGGTTGTTTTCTTGCCGTGCGTTTGGCACAGCTCATTCATCGCCCGCTCCTCCTGCCGGAGCTCTCGGAGCCGCTCGGGAGCAGCGCGATCGGGAGCCGCGGGTGCCGGGGATGTGCCGTGGCTCCGTTATCGCTGTGCGGGGTGGCCGCGGCTCCGGAGAGCCCGGTGCAGACCCCAGGGCGATCGGCGCTGTGCGGGGCTCGGAGCTGTGCTGTGGTTATCAACAACTCCATCCCGTGATTATCAATAACTCCATCCTGTGATTATCAATAACTCCATCCTCTGATTATCAATAACTCCATCCTGTGATTATCAATAACTCCATCCTGCCCCGGGGATGCACGGCAGATGGCCGGGATGCTGCGGCATTCCCACGGCGGCACGGATGGATTGGGAAGGAGAGTCTGTCCGGAGGGAAAACCTGCCGGGAATATCGCCGGCTGCCCTGGCCGGGTCCCAGCAGCGGGGAGCGGCAGGAGATGGGGTCCGCACCCACCTGGCACAGGCACCCCCGCACTCCCGGCTTGTAGGGCTGGCAGCGCTGCCCATCCTGTGTCCGACACCCAAACCCCTGGAGCCGGGATGAGCTGTGCTGTGTCCCTCGGGCAGTGAGGGTGTTCCTGCTCCGGGCTGGGCTCGGGAGCGGCCGTGCTGAGCCCCGGCTCGGCGGGATTGGGCAATCCCGGCGCGGTTCTTTCCCCAGCGCTTCCTTCTGTCCTCCGCTAATGTGTGAAACACCGACCGGGGGGAAGCTGACTCACCGGGCAGGGAACGGTGAAACGGCCTCGGTGCAAAACAAGCCCAGAGGATTCAGAAGTGATTTCTATTTTAGAAGGATGGCAAAAACAGGGAGGAAGATTAGGCAGGGTAAAGTTTTGGAGAGGTGCATGGTCCGACAAGGGCGTTGCACACAGCTCTGCGCTGGTCACTCATGTAAAAATACCAGATTTCCTTTTGTAAATAAAAAGGACAATAATGTTTTCTTTACAAATTTGGAAAATCTCGGTGAGGGCTTTGGCTGAAGGACAGAAAGCTGGGCTGGAAAGCAAGCAGAGGTGCAGTGTGTGGAGAGGGGCAGCCAGTGCCCACCCAGGACCTGCCACAGCCAAGCTCTGAACCACCAACTGTCCCAAACTTCACTTTTCAGTCCGTGCTCTTGCCACAGAGCTCCTCTGGGGACACTGAGAAGCAAGAAGAGTTAGCTGAAGGTGTCTTGGGTACATTCAGAAGGAAACAACACGGAGAAATGCAGGGAAAATTACTCAGAAGGAAACCAGCCGTGGTTTGGTTCATCTGGCATGACATTTGGGTCCCACCTTTGACTCAGCCTGTGTAACAGCTCTCAGTGAGCTCCAGTTATTTGGGGTTTTTTAGTTTTTGTTTTTGTTTTTTCTGCTGTTTGCTTTGGACAAGCTGTTACATGACTGTGCTCCGGGGGAAACGAGGTGGAAGCAGCTCCTCTTCCCAAGTCTGTCAGCTCAGCTGCGTCACCAGCTTTGTGCTTGTGGGGAGCTGGGGCTCTGCAGAACCAACAGACCCATTACAGCCTCATCCTCCCAAAGGCAACGGTGAATCCTGTGTTTTCACAGGGATCTTGGCCTGCTGTGTCGGTGCTCCAGGGATTTTCCTTCTGGCCACTGCCAGGCATGAAGTGGCCACAGCTGAGGGTTTGGGGGGCTCCTGCTGCTGGAGGAAGGCCGAGTTCCAGCATGGAGAGCATTCCAGGCCGCTGCTGGAGCTGGTGGTGACGGTCTCAGGGAACAAAGACTCATTTTTGGGGCAGGTGAAGCAGCTGAATGCACGGCTGCTGCTGCTGGAGGGCTTTGAGTTGTGCTCCAGGCACATCCGCCCCCAGCCGTGTGTCCCCTAATTAATGCCTGTCAGCAATGGCTGCTCTGCTCCAGGGAAAGGCCTTTGAAACACCTTGGAAGACTTTCAGGCTGTGTTTTGGTGCCAGGCAGGGGTGCTGGAGGGTAGTGAGCCATTTTTTTGGCCATCATTTGCCCCAGAACCCAGGTGGTTGTCTCCGGTGTTGGCAGCATCCCCAGGTCTTAGCAGGACTCTGCAGCTCATTTGCCAAACAACTGAATTCTTGTCCTGGCTTTGGCTGGGGGTCTGTGGCTCTTGTGTCTGCCCCACTGCTCCCTGTCAGGTGCTCTCTTGGAGCCAGGAGTGGCTCCTGTGCCCTCCTCGTGACAGATTTCCTCTGTGAGCGTCCACAAAACAAAATTCCCTGGGGGATGTGGGCTGTGCATGGCCCCACAGCCCTTCTCCACACCTTTCCCATGGACTGTGGCCTTTGCTGGCCACACTGGCCTGCTTGGTGGCCAGAGCTGAGCCCAGGGATGCAGACTGACAAAAAGTCCCTGCTTTTCCATAGATCTCTGATCCCTGGGATCTCTCCCAGTCTTGGCTGTTGCTCTCCTGACAGAATTCACAGAATCCCAAAATTCCCAGAATGACTGGGTTGGAAGAGACCTCCAAGATCATGGAGTCCAACCCAGCCCCAGCACCCCAACCAAACCCTGGCACCCAGTGCCGCATCCAGGCTTTGTTAAACACACCCAGGGATGGGCACTGCACCACCTCCCTGGGCAGCCATTCCAGAGCTTTATCACTCTTTCCATAAAAAACTTTTTTTCCTAATTTCCAGCCTGTATTTCCCCTGGTGCAGCTCGAGGCTGTGTGCTCTGGATGTGTCAGTGCCCAGCCCCAGCTGAGCACAGGCACCTTTCACACCCCACTGTCCACCCTGCAAGCCCAAATTTGGGGCCACATCAGGTTCCTGCTCCCTCAAATCCCCTCCTGATGCTGATTGCAGGGTGGGTGCAGCATCTGTGTCAGGAGAAGGGTCCCAAAACTGGGGTGACAACCGCTGTGGTTTAACTGTGGTGGTGCTGTGGTGCCTCATTCACGCCCAGGGTTCCTCCTCCCTGTCAGCTCCAGACTGGGCTGCTGTAGCCTAAATAATGGGGGAAAACAAAACAAAATAAAACAAAACAAACCCCTGGAAAAGGCTTTGGACAGGGAGAAAGTCCAGGGTTGTGCTGCAGGCTCTGGAGCCTGCCCAGGGCTGTGTTTGGGAACAGCTTCTCCTCCAGCCTGTCCTGCCTGGCCCTGGGTGGCTGCTGGGTGGCCTTGGGACTGGGACACGTCCCCTGGGGCTGGGACACGTCCCTCACAAATACCACATCCCTTACAAATACCTTACAACTTACAAATATAAAAAATTCCCACAAAGTAAAACATAATTACAATAAAAAAACTAATAAAACCCCAGCAATTATGCCTGCTCTATTGTAAAAAATCCCATTACAATTAAAAAAAACCCCCTTATTATCTCAATAAAAATAAAACTAAAAATAAATTTTTTGCAAAAACCACAAATACACTCACAGCTCTAAAGGTAACTTAAAAAATAAACAATCCCAGCCACCCCAGGACACCATCTAAAGAATCCAATAACCCCTAAAAAAAAAATCTAAATACCATAAAAATTAATTTAAAAAATACAAAAAACCCCACATTGAACCAACAAACAATCCCTAAAATTTTCCAATATTTACCATTCATAAAAAAATTCAAATTCTTAAAAATTACTTCAAAATCTCAAAAATAATTGATAAAATAATTTAAAAAAAGAAACCACTGCAACCTAACTCCCTTCTCTTTCAATAATCTCAAAGAAATAACCTGTTATTATCATCAGTTGTCCCCTGGGGCTGGGACACATCCCTGGGGACAGATCAAGGCCATGTGGGGGGAGCCACGGAGAGCTGGAGTCCCGTGAGTTTCAGGGCAGATTAAACCCTCAATCATCAGATTAATGGGATTAGAGCAGGAGTTGGAAGGCTGGCTTCGAGCTCAGCACACTGAAAAGCCCTTTGCTCCCTGGAGTAAGTGCAGAGTAAATTCTGCACCCCTGTGACCAGCCCAGCAATGGGGTTTGGTGCTATGGGGGGAGCCCCAGCTCCTCATGGGGGGCCAGGATCTCCCTCCCTGCTCAGGAAGGACCCCCAGACCCTGCTCCCCTTTGGAATGGAGTTTTCCATGGGCTGGGGGCTGGGAAGGGGGTGGCAAATGTTAAATTTGGAGTTTAAACTGCCTGGAAGGAACCCCCAGGGCTGGGATTCGGGATGGGGTGATGCTCTCAGCACATCCTGGGGGTCTGGAGAGCCCTTCCTGCAGATCCAGGGCTGCTCCTGCTGGAGAGAGGGGATGTGGCAGTGCTGTGGAGGAGGGAGAAGCCCCAGGAGCTTCACACACACAGAGGGGACAGGGGAGCAGCAGGGATGTCCGTGAGGGAGCCGTGGAGAGCTGTCCATCTGTTCTGGGCCGTGGGAAAGCTGCACCCCGGGGCTGTGGGGCTCTGCTGTGTTCCCACACTCCCTCCCCAGCCCCGCTGTGCCTCGGGCTGCGCTGGCCTGCAGCTCCAGGCCTGGCTCCAGCAGCCCTGCTGGGCCACAGCTGCTCCCTGGGGCGGCCAGCTGGCCTCAGGTGACAGCCAGACCTGCTGTGGCCTCTCCCGGCTCCTGGGATGGCCATCCCTGCTCAGGGTGACAGCCAGGCCTGCTGTGGCCTCTCCCGGCTCCTGGGATGGCCATCCCTGCTCAGGGTGACAGCCAGACCTCCTGGTCCCCTGGATGTCCATCCCTCCTTGGGTGACTGTGGTGGTGTTCGCAGGGGTCCCAGGATGAGGGAAGAGATGAGAATGTTGACTCCATGTTTCAGAAGGCTGATTTATTATTTTATGATATATATTATATTAAAACTATACTAAAAGAATAGAAGAAAGGATTTCATCAGAAGGCTGGCTAAGAATAGAAAAGGAATGATAGCAAAGGCTGACTGAGACAGTCTGGACAGCTGACTGTGATTGGCCATTAATTAGAAACAACCACATGAGACCAATCCCAGATGCACCTGTTGCATTCCACAGCAGCAGATAACCATTGTTTGCATTTTGTTCCTGAGGCCTCTCAGCTACTCAGGAGGAGAAATCCTAAGGAGAGGATTTTCCATAAAACATTTTTCATACAACAGGTGACAGCCAGACCTTGTGTGACACCCCCTGGTCCCCTGGGTGTCCATCCCCCCTCTGGTGACAGCCACATTTGCCCAGCAGCTCCTCCTGGAGCAGCCCAGCCCCTCAGCGAGCTCATTCCCTGCCAGCCTCTGGCACTGCACACACCACGCCAATAAATATAAAAAAAAAAATCCCCAAATCCTGTTTTTGTAGTGCTGCTGCCCTCAGGGCTCCGTGCTGTTTGCACAATCCGCAGGCTGCATTTTCCATCCCCGTGTCCTTGGCTTTCCCAGGCGGGAACGTGGTGACGTCTGGGAGGTGACAAAGAAGCTGTCATTGGGAAAAGGTGTTTTGTGCCCGGGGCCAGCTGGAATTCCTGCCTGCACGGAGGCAGGGGGATGATCCCGGTGACTCAGCCGTGAGTCAGCGCTGCTGCCCCGCTCGCAGGCAGGTGGGATGCCGGATTCCAGCACCCTGCACTCCTGGCCCTGCTCCAGGGAGAAGGAGGCTGGACCTTCCTTCTGTGCCGGGAGAAGGGCTCGTCACACACAGCAGGGAAAAATCTGCGTATTCTCCAGGCAGACTCTTTGGATTCTGGGTTAAACCTGGGAGCGTGTCACAGAATTCACAGAATCACAGAATTCACAGAATTCACAGATTCACAGAATCACAGAATGACTGGGTTGGAAGAGACCTTCAAGATATCAAGTTTAACCCAGCCCCAGCACCCCAACTAAACCCTGGCCCCCAGTGCCACATCCAGGCTCTGTTAAACACACCCAGGGATGGGCACTGCACCACCTCCCTGGGCAGCCATTCCAGAGCTTTATCACCTTGCTGGAAAAAGCTTTTTCCTGATTTCCAACCTGTATTTCCTTTGGTGCAGCTCGAGGCTGTGTGCTCTGGCTGTGTCAGTGCTGCTGCAGACAGAGCCCAGCCCCAGCTGGGCACAGGCCCCTTTCAGGAGCTGTGAGAGTGATGGGGGCACCCCTGAGTCTCCTTTTCTCCCTCAGGGGTTCCTCACAGGGTTTGTGCTCCCAGCCCCTCTCCAGCCTCGTTGTCCCCTCTGGATGTGCTCCAGTGTCCCAATGTCCTTCCCAAACTGAGGGGCCAAAACCAAACCCCTGCCCAGGCTGGTTCTTCCCTTAGAACAGATGAATTCTCTCCAAGAATTGCTTACCTTGCAGAAACCCCTCGTGCAGCTGAGGAGTTCACCCCAGGCAGGTGCGGGTGCTGCCCACGTGGACGAGCTGGAGCTGCCTCCAGTGCAGCATCCTGGGGTTATTTTTAGAGAGGACTCACATTGGAGAGGGCTGAAATGTGCTGTCCTCACCAGAAAGGGTGCAAAAAATAGATGAGGGGATTGTTCATTTCTGGCGACAAACGCTATTTCAGCTGCTGTGGGAAGACAGCAGAGGGATGTCCGTGGGGTCCTGGTCCAAGGGGAAGGGGCTGGAGATCTCCTGGGGCAGGAGCAGGGTTTGTCACACACAGGGACAAAGAATATTTCCATTTTCCAAATGTTTTCTTTGTGTTTCTGAGGGGCTGAAAGGAAATCATGGCAAACATCCATCATGGAGTTGTTTGAGTTGGAAAGGACCTTAAAGTTCATCCAGTTCAACTCCCTGCCATGGCAGGGACACCTCTCACTGTTCCAGGCTGCTCCAGCCTGGCCTTGGGCACTGCCAGGGATCCAGGGGCAGCCACAGCAAATCTGGGAATTCTATTCCAAGTCTTCTCCACCCTCCCAGCCAGGAATTCCTTCCCAATCTCCCATCCATCCCTGCCCTCTGGCAGTGGGAGCCATTCCCTGTGTCCTGTCCCTCCATCCCTTGTCCCCAGTCCCTCTCCAGCCTCCAGAAGCAGCTGAGGCTGAGCAGAGCCAGGCAGGAGCCCAGCAATGTGCACTTACCTTGCAATTACCACAATTATGTTCTCAAGGATGTGATCTTGGCAATAATTTTCTTACCTGAGCTTATCTTAAGTGGAGGCTGTGAAATCCTTCGGCCCTGGGGATGGGAAGCAGGCTCAGGTGTTTGGGGCAGTCCCTACCTGTGCCCACATGGGAGCCATGTCCTGAACCACGGGAGCACACCCAGGGCTTCTCTCTCCATCAGTGTGGCTTGGCTGAGGCCCAGCACGCTCCTGCTCCCACGTACCTCAGGAATTCCCACTCCTCCACCCCAAAAGGACCCTGTGGCCTTTCCACTGTGAGCACAGCGACGCTGCCAACAATCTCCCAGGCAGAATTTGAGGGGGAGTGATATTTTTGAAGTAGAAATGTCATGATTTTTTTTCCTCTCTTTTTCTTTCTTGTCTCAAGCAGAAGCTGGAGCCCTGGCCCAGCAGTACCTGGAGAGAGGGCTGCTGGTGCCTGACCACGTCATCACCCGCGTGATGATGGCCGAGCTGGAGAAGCGGCGGGAGCAGCACTGGCTGCTCGATGGTGAGTGCAGAGGGGAACCCAGCCCCTTGGGGCCATTCCCCTGTTCCCCACGGTTTGGCAGCCCCAGGAGAGAGGAGGTGGGAGCAGAGGCAGGAGCTGAGCTCCGCAGGGACGTGTCCCGCTGGCCTCGGCACGTGCGTGTCCAGCTGAGCCCTTGGCTCGTGGCCGGGAAAGGGAAGGGCAGGGAGAGGAGCTGGGTGTTCCACAGAGCAGGGCAGGGCTGGAGACACGCCAGGAAAAACTTCTTCCCTCCTTCACGCGCGTGTGTGTGCAGCTGCTCCTCAGTCCCAGCCCAAAAGCCACCTGAGGTGAAGGCATGGGAGGAGCTGAGGGCAAACAGGCGCGGCCTGGGGTCCCTGGCCATGGCTGGAAGGAGAATCAAAGAATCCATAGTGGTTTGGATTGGGTGAGACCTTAAAGCTCATCCAGGTTCATCCTTGCCGTGGGCAGGGACACCTTCCATGGGCAGGGACACCTCCCACTGTCCCAGGTGCTCCAGCCCCAGTGTCCAGCCTGGCCTTGGGCACTGCCAAGGATCCAGGGGCAGCCACAGCAAATCTGGGAATTCCATCCCAGGGCCTGCCCACCCTGCTAGGGAACAATTCCTAATTCCCATCCATCCCTGCCCTCTGGCAGTGGGAACCATTCCCTGTGTCCTGTCTCTCCATCCCTTTGTAAAAGATCTCTCTCCATCTTTCCTGTGGGCTCCCTTCAGGTCTTTAAAGGTCCCTTCCTATCCAAACCATCTGGGATTCTGGAATTTGCTCCAGCTGCTCACTGGCTGTCCCAAGGAGGACAGGATCATTTCACTCCAGTCTCCCTGATGTCCCCACATCAGCCAGCAGTCTGTCCCCAGTCTGTGCACAGCAGTCTGTGCCGTCCCTTCACATTTCCCCTCATCATTCCAGCGCTGATCCCTGTTCTGCCACTGCCCGTGTCCCCCTGCCTGCCCCCAGCCCCCGTGCAGGGCCAGCAGCACCAGCTGAGCCCCGGGTGTCACATTTCGGGAGCCGTGGCTGCTGCAGGAGTTATTTTTTCTCGGAGCCATATGGCGGTGTCTGCCTTTCCCCGCCTGTGCCGCAGCGGGGCCGGGCCCGCGGCTCCGGAGCTGCCTCGGGGATGGCTCCGGCTCCATCCCGCTGCTTTCCGGCCGCTCGTTCCCCTCCCCGTGCCCCTGTGCCCGCCCAGGTTTCCCTCGGACGCTGGGGCAGGCGCAGGCTCTGGATGGGATCTGCCAGCTGGACCTGGTGATCAGCCTCAACATCCCCTTCGAGACGCTGAAGGATCGGCTGAGCGCCCGCTGGGTGCACCCGGGCAGCGGCCGCGTCTACAACATGGACTTCAACCCTCCCCACAGCCAGGTGAGGGCCTGAGACACCTGCAGCCTCCCACAAGGGGGAAACATGGGACAGGGGCCCTGTCTCTGCGGGAACTGGGGTGCTGAGGGAGCTCTGGGCGTGCGATCCTGGGTGGAAGGGCTGGGAGCCGTGAGGAATTGTGCTAAATGTTCTGAGGGGTTGTGCTAAACTTCCCTGGGGAGTTGTGCTAAACGTTCTGAGGGATTGTGCTAAACCTTCTGAGGGATTCTGCTAAATATTCTGAGGAAATGTTCTGAGGAATTGTGCTAAACCTTCTGAGAAGTTGTGCTATACTTTCCTGGGGAATTGAGCTAAATATTCTGAGGAATTGTTCTGAGGAATTCTGCCCCTTTCCTGAGGAAAGCAAGACTGATACAGACAGTGCAGGCTGCCCCAGAGCAGAGGTTAGACAGAGTTCCAGAATAAAGCAGGGATTTATTCACAGCATCTCCTCCATGGATCCACCTTGGGCAGCACCAGAGCCCAGCCAGGGCTGCACCCAAGATGAACCAAAATGGCCCCAAAATGCACGAGGGGCACGGGCTCTGTCCCTGGGATCAGTTCTGCTCCATTTGCACCTTGCAGTTCATTGTCCCATTGCAGCTTTAGCCCCTGCAGTCCCACCCTGCTTGTTTTTCTCTCTCCAGCCCACGGTGTTTGTGCTCCTGGGCTGAGATTGGGATCATTTGTCCTTGGTGCCCAGCTGGAGCAGGAATTGTTTTGTCTCCCTGCTCTGTGCACAGAGCTCAGCATCCCATAGTATGGACCCCAGACCCACACACTAAAGCAGCACAGAGTGTGAAAATAGAAAACCCCAAACCTGAGACATGACCAGGATGAGGCCTGTGGCAGCTGCAGGGTGGGTGATGGGGTGGGTGAGGTCCCTGTGTGCTCTGTGTCCCCCAGGGTGTGGATGACCTGACGGGAGAGCCGCTGGTGCAGCGCGATGAGGACAGGCCCGAGGCCGTGGCCGCTCGCCTCAGGAAGTACAAAGATGCTGCCAAGCCCGTGATAGAGCTCTACAAGTGAGTTGGGCACGAGCAGAACCCCAGCAGGGCCCTCAGAACCCCAGCAGGGCTCTCAGAACCCCAGCAGGGCCCTCAGAACCCCAGCAGGGCCCTCAGAACCCCAGCAGGGCTCTCAGAACCCCAGCAAGGCTCTCAGAACCTCAGCAGGGCCCTCAGAACCGCCACCAGGGCTCTTTGTGTCCTGCCCACATCCCAAAGAGCCCTGGCAGATTTTTGGGGCCAAGCCCTGAGCCTGGACGGGGCCTCCCTTGGAGGAGGGAGGGTGATCCAGGGAAATTCCCAGCTCCTGTTGGTCCTGCTGGGCTCAGCACATGGGAGGGGCATTTTGGCCTAGATCCAGGGTGGGACATGCCATGAAAAATCCACCAGGGGCACCGAGGGGTTTGGGTGAAGCGCAGGGAGGTTGGCAGGAGGGCAGGAGAAGGGAGAGACCCCAGCACTGGCTCAGATGGATCTGCTGGGACAACGGGGGCTTCCAGGGCTTGTTCCCCTTGTGGGGCTGCTGTGCCCTGGAATTGTTGGGCTGCTGTGCCCCTGGCCAGTCTGGGAATGATGGATTGCTGCAGGGTGGTAAATCTGCTGCTCAAAGGGAGTAGAAGCCCAAGTGTTTTTAAGCACATGGTGGGACCAAAATTGCCCTTGCAGGAGAAGGGACAGAACTGCAGAATCCCAAGCAGAATCCCAAAATGGTTTGGGTTGGAAGGGGCCTTAAAGCCCATCCCATTCCATCCCCTGCCATGGGCAGTGACGCCTCCACTACCCCAGTCCAAGCTGCCTTGGTTGGGACAGCTTCTCCTGACTTCTCCCACCTCTTTTCCAGGAGCAGGGGCATCCTTCACTCGTTCTCTGGCACAGAGACCAACAAGATCTGGCCCTACGTGTACAGCCTGCTGTCCAGCAGGATCCCACCCATCCTCTCGGAGGAGGAGCACTAGCCAGCCCGTGCCAAGCACCAGGATCTCATTCCATCCTGGATGTGGTTCCCAGTGCAGTGCCAGGGCTGTGCTGGGCTTGGGTGTTCATGGCTGGGTGACATTGGTGGGTACCAGTTACAGCCAGGATCAGATCTTTGTTTGGAAGGTCAAGTCTCCTGGAATAAGGGGTTTTTTTCCCTCTTTTGGGACTGTGGAGCTTTCCTGCCCGTGGTCCATCCTGGATTGGTGGTGCTGACATTGGGGCATTGGTCATTCCAGGTTTGCACAGCTTTGCCATGGTGTCCTTGCCATCCCTTTCCAGCCCCAGTCCCTGGCTGAGCCCACACGTGCCATCCTGCTGCTCCACAGGACCATTTACTGCTGAGGACTCTCTAGGCTGAGGTGGTCTTTTTCTATAAATTATTTTCTATTAAATGTATTTCTCAGAGAAATAAAGCTCTAGAAAGCAACACTCAGCCCAGTGGGAATTTTGGGAGCAACGTGGAAAACGTGTGTACTGCAAAGCTGAGAGATGTGGGGCTCACATTTCCAGCATGAATACACACAGAAGAGGAAAAGCTTGGAGGTGAAACTCTCCCTTCCATGGGGAGAGCTGAATCCCCTGCTGGACAAGCTGCTGTACAGGTTTTTATGGAATGCTGTGACACTCAGCACGACCTGGGGCTGGGGATGAGTTGCTCTCCTTTGTGCTTTCCTGGTTTATAGCTTTCAACATTCCAAGACAGCAAAGTCCTAAGAGTTTCTCCCAAAGATTTATCTCCACTTGTGCTTCTGTTCTGGGCAGGAATCAGCTCATTCCATCTTCTGTGCTGCCTTTGTCCCCGAGGTCCCCTGGCCTGGGGTCCCTTCAGCTGCTCCTGCTGTGTCCCCCAGCAAAGTGACTCCCTCCCCATGAAACCCCAGAGATCTTTCCTTCCTTGGGATGCAGCCAGGGCCATGCCCAGGTGTTCTCCCACGATTTTCAGCATCCTTGGGTTGTGGTGGGGCTGGGCTTTTCTCAACTGGAAGTACTGTCACCCTCTTTTTGTAGGATGCAGTACCCGAGCAATGGGGACAGTTCTGGTCCTCTCGAGTTGCCTTATTTTATAAACTATATATTTAAGAAAAAAAAGGAAAATAAAAGCAAGGTGTGTATTTGTAAAAGTTTAAGACAAACAAACAAACAAACGAACAAACAAAAAGTGCGGAATTTTAGCATCACCTTTTGGGAATTGTGCATGGAGCTGCTGGATGTGCAGGGAATTCTGCTTCTGCCAGGGGGGCTCACAGGAGGGCAGGAACCTGGCACCGCTGGCACCTCTGGGGTTAATCAGAGCACCTTTCTGCTGCTGGATATCCCTGGGTTTATTTTTCCTTTATTTTCCCTGTGGCCCAGGGAAAGGGGATTGACTGAATTTTTAAGGGATTTTTTCCAGGTGTGAAACTCCAGCTCCTGCCTGGGTTTGTTTATCCCAGCTGAGCATCCCCGTGCTGACCAAGGATTCCCTAAAATCTGCTTCATCCTGGTGGAGCCAGAGTGGGATCCCTGCCCACATCCCCCTGCTCACCCCTGCCTGGGGCGAGGCCAAAGTGCTCCCACCCTGCTCCAGGTGGGAATTTTCCAGGTGGGAACAAAGGCGCTGTCAGCTGTCACTGCAGTCCCAGGAGGCCTTTCCATGCCCTGGTGCTGGGAGGCTGCAAATCTTCCAGCTGGCAGGGAAAGCCTATTTCAGAGAGATTTGGGATTTTCCCACCACCCTGGATGAAGGTCTGGGCTGGTTTTAGACACAAATCCCGACACAGCCAAAACCTGTCTGCTGCTTTCTTTGGAACAGCTTTGGGCAGGAGGGGAGGAGGTTTTAGGGGTTTTTTTAGGCTGTAAAAGCAGCTGGGTGCCAGGCAGAGGGGCTGATCCCTGCTTTGCCTTGTCCCGTCCTTATGTCCTGTCCTTCCCCGCTGCAAAATTCCTCCTGAAGAGAGAATTCCATGCAGCCCAGCACAGGACAGGTCTGCAGATGCCTTTCCCAGGCTTCCAGCCCTATAACCGGTGTAGAAATCCCGTGGCTGTGCATGCCTCCGGCCCTCGGGCTGGAATTTTCTACCAGACCTGTTGCATTTTCCGGGACCAAACCCCAGCAGGGAATTTGTCCCTGGCTGCGCCCCCGCCGTGCTCCCTTTGGGTGTTTTACTGTGAACCCCGAGCCTTTTGTAAAGCCACAGCAATTTTGTACCGACCCGAGATACTGTGTGGAGGGAGGAGCCCCTCTCGCCCCTGGAATGTCGCGCCGAGTTTTCTTCCCGGAGTTTTCTTCCCGGAGTTTTCTTCCCGGCGTTTCCTCCCGGTGAATCGCTGCAGCTGTGTTTCTGCTCTCTCTCGAGATGTAAATAAAGATTTTCTCCTGCTGATCCCTGTGCTGGCACAGTCTGTGTGGGCAATGCCTTGCCAAGGCAGCAGGGCAGTGTTGACCTGGAGCTCCTTTGTGGGAGTGAGGAGGAGGAGGAGGAGGAGAGGGGAAGAAGAGGAATCAGAGCATCCCTGCAGGAAGGTGGGAATTTATTTGATTTCCCTCAGGACCTGCGTTTGGACATAACACAGCTCTTTGGGTCCTTTATCTGATATAATGCAAAATGTTGGTTAAAAAACCAGCTTGGATGTAGCCATTTGCTCCAGTCCTCCCATCTTTAACCTGGAATCCCAGAATCCCGGAATCCCAGAACCCCGGAATCCCAGAATCCCAGACTGGTTTCGGTTGAGAGGATCCTCAAAGCCCATCACAATCCCCCCCTGCCCCACAAAAAAAGTGGTTTTAATTTCCTTCTTAACTTCTCCCTGATAAAAATCCCAGGGAGCATTAGGACAGGGAGGCTCTGGCTGTGTCCTGCGTCCCAGGAATCCATCACGAGTGCTGGGAATTGGGAATTGGGAATTGGGGATTGGGAACTGGGAACTGGGAATTGGGAACTGGGGATTGGGAATTGGGAATTGGGAACTGGGAATTGGGGACTGGGAATTGGGAACTGAGAATGGGGAATTGGGAATTGGGAATTGGGAACTGACAACTGGGAATTGGGAATTGGGAACTGGGAATTGGGAATTGGGAACTGAGAATTGGGAATTGGGAATTGGGTAATGGGAACTGGGAACTGGGAATTGGGAATTGGGAACTGGGAATTGGGAATTGGGAACTGGGAACTGAGAATTGGGAATTGGGAAATGGGAACTGGGAACTGGGAATTGGGAATTGGGAACTGGGAATTGGGAATGGGGAATTGGGAATTGGGGATTGGGAACTGGGAATTGGGAACTGGGAATTGGGAATTAGGAACTGGGAATTGGGAATTGAGCTCCCGGAGCTGCAGAGCCTCCTCCCAGTGCCACCAGTTCTCTTGTTGCTGCCATTCCCGAGTATCAGCTCGGGGCACTCCCAGTTAGGAGAGAGCAGAGCCTCGGGAATGATCGGAGAGAGGGAAAACAAGGTGATAAACCGGGAATCTGCTGCCGGGGAGGCGGGGGAGAGCCCCGGCTGGCAGGGGGGATGTCGCGATCCAGGGTCGTGACAATCCGCAGGCGGAGCGGGGACGTGCGGGCAGAGAAACCCGAGGAGGAAAAATATCAGCGTAAGCTGGAATATGAACTCGGCCTGAAAACAAAAGCTGGGAGGTGAAAAAGCAGAGGAACGTGAGCCAGAATCCAGCTGGGATCAAAGGCTTGGCTTCCCCCAGTGCCACCGGGGGAGCTGGGAGGGCACAGGGGACACGTCCCCACCCCACAGCCTGACCCCAGCCCCGCTGGAGCGGAAAGCAAAAGGAAACGGCCTCAAATCGCACCAGGGCAGGCTCAGGTTGGACATTCGGGAACATTTCTTTACGGAAAGGGTTGTCCAGCCCCGGGTGGATGAGTCCCAACCCCTGGAGGGATTTAAAACCCCTGTGGATGTGGCACTTGGGGACATGGGGCAGTGGTGGCCTTGGCAGTGCTGGGCATGGCTGGGCTCGATGAGCTGAGGGGAATTTTCCAGCCCAAATGATTCCATGACTCCAAATATTTGTTTACAGCATCGCTGAAGTGTTTGTCTGCCTGGTGCCCGGGGAAGTGCCCCAGGTGTGCCTGGGTCAGCCCCATCCCCGGGGCTGCAAAGCTTGGACAAGTGACATCCCTGCTGGGCGCATCCAGCAGCATTTAGCATTCTCCAGAAAAAAAAAAAAAAAATCAAGGGAAAAAAGAAAAAGCAAGGAAAAGGGAAAAAAAACACCACAGGAAAATGGGGAAAAAATAAAACTATGAGGAAAAGAAAAAAAGAAACGAGGAAAAGAGGGGGGGAAAAAGAGCAAGAAAAACGGGGGAGGAAAAAAAGAAAAATAGAAAAGCACACAGTCAAGGGAAAGAAAAAAAAACCCAAGGAAAACAAACAGAAAAACCCCTGGTGAGGCTTGCGCCGCAGACTCCAGATCCCACTCCAGGCCACATTTTCGACGGTGTGATATGTCTGCCTCCATCCCCATCCCTCGCTGAGTGTCTGTAATCCCCAAAATAACCCGGGAGCGGCACGCAGCTCGCAGCAGCGGCGGCAGCAGCGCCCCGGGCGGGCCGGAGCGGCCCCGCCGCCGGAGCCGGGCCCGGAGCGGCTGCGGGACACGCTCGGCACCGCTCCCGCAGCCCCGCAGCATGCACGGCCCCGAGCAGCCCGGTAAGGAAACCTCACCGGGGCTCGGGGAACAGCGGGGAGAGGGAAGGCGAGGAAATTGGGGGTGTTGTGCAGGGCCCGTTTGTGCTGAGTAATTGGGAAGGCAGCTGGCATCCCGGGATGGGGAGGGTTCCCCGCTTTGCAGCCGGTTATGTAACAGGGAACAGGGAAGGGATGGCACCCGAAAGTGCCCGGCCGGGCAGGGAGGGCGAGGAGCCGGGATTTGGGGATGGGGACCTGGCAACGGGGTGCTGGACACCCCCGGGCTGCGCCGGCCCCGCGGTGCCCGCCAGGAGCTCGGATACCTCCTCCGGCACCCCAAAATTCGGGGCTGCGCTTTCAGGGCTGCTCGGGAGCTCTGCGGGCGTACGGATTGGAGAGAAGGGGATTTTCCTGTTTGAAATAATAAGTGTGGCTTCTCTGCGGCCGGAGCCGGACCTGCCGCGGGAGGGGCATCGGCGGCGATGGCAGCGCACGAACGCTGCCATCCAATGCTGATCCCGGCCTTTCCCTGCCAATCCCGCGGGAAGCTGACCTTCAACCCCCCCTCTGCTGTGCCGAGGCAAACACAGGGCTGCATTGCCTTTAAAAAAAATCCCTATTTCGGGCCAAAAAACAGCCGAGATCCGTAGGTAAATGCGGACATCGCCGCCTCGGCTTCGGCGCTGCTGAGGCGGCCCCGGGCGGGCGCTCCGGGAGGGGACGGGGCTCCCCACGGCTCCAGGTAGGTGTTGATCCCCCCACGGCTGGAAAACAGCCCATCGTTCCCGTCTGGCTGCTGTGCCTGTGCCTGTCATTACCGTAGTCTTGTTTTGGATACTGCCGGGGAGAGGAGGAGGAAGGAGGAGAGGGAGAAAGAGGAGGAGGAGGAGGAGGAGGGTGAGGAATGTTTTGGGCGAACCCTCAGGTCTGC